TCCACTGTTGACTGACCCAGACCCCAGGTTATCCACCCACCGAATTACCTGCCTTATTTACACACCTACCTATCTATTTACTCATTAACCATTCACTCACCCTTCTCTCATGTATTCAGCAACTTTGAGATTGGATCTTTAAACATACCATTGAGCAACTAGTTGTATAAAAAGGAGCAATGTCCTATTCTCCCCTGGCTTTACTTTGCTCCTTGGGACTCCATGTATGCATTTCACTGATGGCTTGGATCAGAAAATCCTGAATAAGTGTGCAATGGCGTTGGGTTGCAGGAATCTTTGAGCATAGCAACTATCTGACCAACATTGCTGTTACTTGGACAAACCAGGTCAATGTTCTTTGCATGAATATAATACAGTTGCATAAAAGCCCTTCAAATATACAGTGATAGGATACAAAAAATAAAAATTATTTTAAAGTTTATTTAGCTAATTGGTTATATTGAAGGCCAACAGGGGACTGATTTACCACATTTAGTTCCATGGATGAACTCTGCTTTATTAATTTAAGTGATGAGAAGAAGATAAATTTTAGAAATGTTGGAAATCTGGTTACTTCCCCTTCACAAAATTGAGGTTTAAAAAAAGTCTATTGAATTATCTCCAAAGACTTCTTAAAGAAATGTGTTCAGAAGGAACCCAAACTGGCTTTTATTGGTGTTTTGTTATGGTTAGCTTGTTGTTTTCCCCTATACGAATATGAGATCATGCTTACCAAAATAAATTGCATTTTTATTTAATATTGTGGAATTATGATTGTTTCCACAGGAATTCATTCTTTGCAAGAGATCATCCCTTATTGTACAAGTGTTTTTTTCCTGATTATATTGGATGTCCTTTTGCTGTATCCCTTATACCCATAATTACTTCCCATATTTAAGAAACAGCATGGAACACACCCATTGAACCATGAACCAGTCACTTAAAGTTATTAGTAGGAAAAAGTAATCTAAAATAATTACATTGCATCTAATAGAAGAACAACTGGAAATTAGAAATATAATTATAAATAGTCTGCAAAGATTTCAAAAAGGAAAAACTCGCTTGAATAAACTTTTTGAATTATTTGATGAGGTGACAGAATAAACATTGGTAGCGCAATAAATGTAATCCATCTGGATTTTCAAAAGGTCTTCACCTCAGGTCTTCATTGTAGATTAATGAATAATGTCAGAGAATGTGGAGTGAGCTGATAAGTGGCAGAAGTTCCTCACTTTAACATAAGGTGAAAAATTGTGTTCCACAAGGATCAGTACTGGAAACTCTGCTATTCATAACGATGTTAACGATTTGGACTCAGAATCAAAAACATGACACCAATTTGAATGGATAGTCAAGGAGGACTGCGACAATTTGGAGGAGGGCATTATTAAACTTCGAGGATAGCAGATAATTGGTGAATGGAGTTCAGCACACTTAAATGGTATATTTTGGTATGGAGAAAAGATGAAGAAGGTCTATTGTTTGAAAGGTGCACATCACGGTGTGGTAGAGGCACGTAGGGATCTTGGAATAAAATACAGCAAACACTAGAAGGTGCACCACAGGTTAGAAAGAAAATAGAAAGCAGGCATTGTGCTTTATTTCTAGATGAAAAGAATTCAAAATTAGAGAAGTTACGCTGAACCCATATGGAACCTTGGTTAGGTCACGCTTAACAGCTTAGCCAGCACTGTGTGCAGATCTCTGTCACCATATTGCTAAAAAATGATACAGAGTTGCTGGAGAGGGTGCATAGAAGATTTACAAGGATGATGTCAGAAATGCATGGTGTGCGTGTATATATGTATATATATATATAATGTGTGTGTGTGTGTGTATAAAAGGCTAAGGGTTGACCTAATACAAGTATTTAAAATTCTGAAAGGTATTGATAGAGTGAATATAGAGAGAATGTTCATCTTGTGGGAAAGTGTATAACTGGAGGACATCAATACAAGATAGTCATCAAAATATCTAAAAGGGAATTCAGAGGAAGCTTCTTTACTCGAGCAGTAGTAAGAATGTGGAACTTGTTACCAAGTGATTGAAGTGAGTAATGTTGATGCATTTCAGGGCACATGTATGACAATGAAGGAAATAAAAGGTTACAATGACTTATTTAGATGAGGAAATGCAAAGGCTCAATGAGAGCATAAATGTCATCATTGATGTGTTCGACCAAATGACCTGCTAAATGAATATCCTATGTCATCATTCCTGTTCCTAGACTTTTGATACCAACGACAATTTACATTTCTACAGCATTGTTACCTGCAAGATAATCACTCAGTGTTTTACAGGACAGTGAACAAATGAAACACCGAGCAAAAGAGTGAACAGAAACAGAGTTTTAAGGAAGAAATATCGGAAGACTGGGAAAATTGTTTTAAGCAGTGGGTTTATGAGCAGAAAGATAATGATATAAACAGATGTCTGAGCACAGGAGAGTATATGGAGAGAAGTCTGACTGACTAAAGGGGAATGCTATTTAGGCTGGGCCAAGGTTAGAGAGGGTGTGAAGACAATAAACAGGTTTGTAAAATTAAATTTCTGGGGTATAGAAAACTAACAATGCTTGGTGGGAACAGGAATTATTTAGTGCAGTCCATTGTGCAATTCTACATAATCGAACTCCTCATAGGACATAGATAACACAGTGAACTGGAGGAACACAGCAGGCCAGGCAGCATCAGAGGAGCAGGAAAGTTGA